AAACCATAGAGACAAGAGATTGGATTGGTGGTTACTGGGGGGGGTGCAAGGAGGGCAAAAGGGATAATTAGGCACGTGTGTGGTGATGGGTTGTAATTAGTATTTGGGTGGTGAACATGAGAACATGATGTAATCCATGCAGAAATAGAAGTATAATGATGTACACCTGAAATTTATACAATGTTATAAACCAATGTTACCGCAGTAAACAAAAAAAAATTTTTTTAAATAAAATAAAATACATGGGCGGTAATTAAGGCAGAGGAAGGGAAAAGCAGGTCACTCAAGGGAGCAGTTATCTGCGTCATCCAGGGCTTTCTACAAGGGGAGCTTCATGGGTGGGCAGCCTGGCTCTTTATCTAGTTGTGTAGCTGGCATGTCTGTCCAGGATGGATGTCTTTGAAATGGATGCCTTGTCAGTCAAAAGCTTAATGTCAGGCACTTTTACTACAAAGTTCATCTGTGTAGTAGCATTTATCAGTACTTGATTCCTTTTTATGGCTGAATAACATGGCTTTGTATAGATATACCACATTTTGTTTATCCGTTCATCCATTGATAGACATTTAGGTTGTTTCCATTTTTTGGCTGTTGTGAATAATGCTGTTACGAACATTTGTGTACAGGTGTTTGTATGTACATATGCTTTTAATTCTCTTTGGCAAATTCCTAGGAGTGGAATTGCTGGGTAATAACAGTAGTTCTGTGTTTAACATATTGAGGAACTGCCAGACGGGTTCCAAAGTGCTTGCTCCATTTTACATTCCCAACAGCAATGTACGAGGGTTAAAAAACCTCACTCTTGCATCTTCTTGTCATGTGCTAGGTATCTTGGTTCTTAACATTAATGTAACTGTCATATCCTACAGTGTACATAAAATAACAATTTATTACTACTAACAGGGATACTAAATGAAATTCAGTATGTCTTTGTAGCTCATTTTATCCAAGGAGTACACAAATACCAGATGTTAAGGTCACTTAGAAAAATTATTGTCTCTTGTAGTTTTGTTTCCAATTTGATAAACGAATGTATTTGTTAACATTTATTTTCAGCTTTAGGGATTGCCCTCCCTCCTTTTTTTGATCATGTAAAATATTTACATGATTCAAAAATAGAAACTGGATAGCAGGGGCCGGCCCTGTGGCTTGGTGGTTAAGTGCGCGCGCTGCAATGCTGGTGGCCCGGGTTCAGATCCCGGGTGCGCATCGAGGCACCACTTCTCCGTCCATCCTGAGGCCGAGTCCCACATACAGCAACTAGAAGGATGTGCAGCTA